ACTTCCCACGAGCACCAATGGCCATCTTTGCAGATTGTGACCATTCTAAAAAGTTTATACAATCCAACTTAACTGTAGTGATGGTCCCAGCCCCGAAAAGGTCTCCGATACCTCCTCCCCATTGTCCTGTTTCACTTCCCGGTTTGTTTTCAACTCCGTGACCCTCCATTACTCCCAACAAAGAGTTAAAAAATCACTTCGAGATGAAGAAAAGAGAAATAATCCCCTTCAGGCACCACACACACCCTTGTGGAACCCTAGGTGGTCCTCTCACAAAAGTTTCCTTTTTCACGGGATGAGAGAAGAGAGAGAAAAAGCAGCCACTCCCTCAAAGGCTTCCAAAACAGATGGGACTTGAATCGCCCCCTTTAGAAAACTCCAAGGAACCCTAAAAAATTAGAGCTTCACTTCCTAGGTCAAAATTGAAGAATCCTACAAAAATTATGACTCTTTCCCTTTCTCCAGTTCTTCCTGAATTTGATGGGAAACCCTAGACTAGTTACAGGACGAAACAGATCCACCAAAAAATCCTAAAACTGGGCTTACCTGAGGTCTTCGATCAGCCTCTCATATCACCATGCAGTTGGCCGATCTAGGCATGATAGAGCAGCTCAAGAAACCTTCAACCTGGCTCTTATACCAAGTAGAAATTGCATAACTGATTCAGATGAATGCCTTGTGTAGAAAAGTAGAAGAAGCTAAAAGGTTTCAGCAGTAGAGAAGAAGAGAGAAGAAGAAAAGAGAGTGGGATGTCACAGAATTGAAATAGATCTAGCCGCCAATCCCTCTTGATTTCTATACTTAAAATAAAAGAATGAAAGATTACAAGAATACCCTTAGTAGGGCGGCTACTTAAAGTAGCTGAACAGTCACAACTTAAAAATAACATAACTAATGGGGCTAAGGCCTAATAACTTCCCAGCTTAACAACTTAAAAATAAAAATAAAAGGCTGGGCCCAATAACTTAAAATTGGCCCAACTGAACATCCATGTTTTCCTATCAAACTTCAAGTCTTTAAATCAATTCTGTCCTTTCTAGTCTTGTCACTAATCTTTTATAAGGTATCACAATCATGTCAAATATGAAGATTCAACACACGATTTCATCTATTTTTGCAACATGGAGGGATCTTGTTGCCAATCCAGACACATCGGGTTGGCCACTAGGGGTGATCATTTCCAGCCCGGCACACACCCATCCACCCACACACCATGGGAGGTGTTTCACTTAACTACTTAAACTTCATTTTGTGCCAGATTCCCTCCTATATATCACACGTTTAGCAAATAAACACCTGTTAGCATTCCATCAAGAAAATGGATGGAAAATGCTACATTTTTAAATGCTCAAATTGCCATTTTGGATTATTTTTCCCTTATCTTCTTCATTTCATATTTTGAAACTAGAAAGAGACACCTTTTCCTTGAACAGGACAGGTAATCTCATCAAATTATTTTTAAAGACAAGTAGCACAAAATGAAGACAAGGACGAACTTGTCCAAAAGAGTAATTTGGGCAAAAATGTGTAAGACATCACATGATGTGCACAGGGGCGTTTTCCATTCATTTCCTGATGGAATGCTAAACAGAGGTGTTTGTTTTCTTAGCTTCTGATGGTTTGGAGGGAATTTGGCACAAAATAAAGTTTAGGTAGTTAAAGTGAAACACCCCCTAATCCCCATAGTGTAGGGAGGGTGGGTATGGAGTTTACCCATATATGTGACTGTGTTATTTTATATTATATAAACATTGTAATGTGACAATTATTTATAATGTTTTATATTATATAGCATAAATTTTATGCATATATGTTATATAATATAAAAGATTATGTATGCATGTATCTATCATATTTTATTTTTATATTTAAAGTCATAGTCCCAAAGCCCAGCCTATTCTGGCCCATGATCACCCCTATTGGCCACATATTCAATTCCACAACCCATATCATCCCTATAGGGCACATTGTATTGGAGGTTTTCCAATCAGCAATAACCATCTGCACTTTTACATTTTTAGATATAAAATTTATCTATACTATATATAAAAGTGTGGATKYAAAGTGAAAGTTTTTTTGGATTAAAATTACCCTTTATTTCTTTGTTTGAGAAATGGTATAAAAGTCATTTTATTACTACTTTAATGCTAGCTTTAATGGCTACTAAAATGCCCATATTTGTGTATTTAGTCTATCTCTAATTGTAAGGGTTGAAAATGTAACTTCAATTATTACTTTCCACCTCATTTAATCCCCTCTCATTAAGTCTTATATTTAAGGTATTAACTCCTATTTTCTTTTATTAAATCCTGTATTTAAGTTAGTTTTTCAATATTTTAACAATATAAACCCATAAATTTTAAAACTGAAAACAAAACCATTCTTTATCCAAGTGGTGGCTAAGCAATTCAACCATCTGAATCAAATTGATCAACCTATGAAGTCATAGTTAGGCAATAAAATTTTTAAAATAGAAATAAATATAGAAAACTACAAAAATGTAGAAAAAATTAAACACATTTATGATATTTTTATTAATCAAATTAAAAAAATAATTATAATAAACAAGAATTATTTTTATTGATAATAAAAATGAAATACGTAATTTACAACTGACCAAAAATGAAATTATTTTATTGGTTCGTAAAGATCAATAGTTCAACTTTTCTGTCAAATTTGTTAACCTTTAATGTCATAAATAAATAATAAAAACTAATAAAATATAAAAATGAAAAAATACATAAATTTTGCAAAAAAAAAATTCAGGCACATGTATAGTATCATATATTTATCATATTAAACAAAAAGCAAGTGTGAAATATCAGAATTATTTTTATATACAGAAATAAAAAAATTATAGAAAAACTTGAACACATCTATAATTCTATATTTACACTATTATTAAAGTATGAATAAGATTGCGAAACTTTCTTTTGACTAAAATACTCATTTTTTAATTTAGTCCCTATTTAACTGTGAGGTTTAAATTGTAAATTGAACTACTTTTCATCTCATTGAATTCCTTCTATTTAAATCTAACTTTTTTTTTTTTTAAATAAATGAACGAAAAAAAAAGATACACCGAAAAGATAAAACATTACAAAAAGAAGAGTCTAGTCAAGCAGGTAGGCCTATCAATGATACTTGAAACTTCACAACTCGATCTGGTTATCATATATTTGTATGAGGTGTTTATGTAATCAGATTTAGATTTTACAATCTGAATCCGATTAATAATAAAAAACAAAAAATACATCAAGTTTATAGAAAATTTTGGGTACATTATTACTATCATTATCATCACGTAGAATTGCCACATGCAAAGCATGGGCACACTTACTAATCTATAAAAGGATGTCTATTTGAACACATGGCAAGGCCTTGTTGGCTAAAATTCTTTCCAGGTGCAGAGAGGAATACAGAAACTTATTCTAAGYTCCTAATGAAGTTGCATTGTGGAAGATTCCTAGCCCATTTAGGAAAGCTCACCAAACAACCCATGCGCATGTGCAAGCATGTCAATGGAGCATGAGCTCATAGAACAAAATCCAAAATATTAATAGGGTTTACATCTGTTGTAAGATTATTTTTTTTCTTGGTTTTTCATTTTCCTTGAGGATGAAATAAGTGAGCCTTATTAGATTTGCATTTAGGTTTTGTAGTAGCTTATTCAAACTGATTTCAAATGAATGGCTGAAAAAGACTTCAACTTCATAGACAATAAATTGTCTAAGTGTTTTTTCATTCAGACTTCTAATTCTTAGCTTGAAAACCTCCATGCAAACTCTTGAAAATTCTAAGGTACATTGTTGGGACAATGGATGTAACCGGGAGATTAATTCTTTATAAAAAAACTTTCCCATGTTGATTTACACTGCAAAAGTTTCGAGTTGAACCTTCATTGTGATGAATTCAAGATGACAAGAAATACTAGATTACTAAACTGTGAAGATACTCTCTAATCCTCTCTTATCTGTATGTTCATAATGAGCAATCAAAAGAGCTAATCATAGGCACGAATAATGTCAAATGGGTAGTACTGAATAAAACAGGAGCAAACCTTTCCAGTAGAACTTATAAGCCAGATAAAATCAGAAATCAATAAGCCACAGAAGATGAATCTGCACTTTTTTCTGATCTGAAACAAACAGAAGATGAAGCTGCGTCTGAGGGGAAGCCACCAATTCCAACTATTTTAATATTCCTTACTCCATAATCTTTTGAACATATTAAAAGTGAATAATATTACTTCAAAAATCAGGTTTTCATCAAGATTTATTATCAAGGCATGTCAGACTAAAACATGCCTCTGCTTATTTTTATTTATTTATTTATTTTTACTTTAGATTAGTAGTCTTGTTTAACCTAGACATGGTATTTGTTAACATTGCTCGGAGGTAATTGTCTTAACAAGAGAATAATGCAAGATTATCTAAAAGGTCTCCTATGAGTTTATTCAAGCATGCCAACTCCCTTTTTTTCATTGGCAGCTACTTGGTCACCATAGTAATAAAAAAATCTACTTGGCCACGATAACCAACAAAATGCCTTTAACTTGTACTTGAGAATGTCAAGTACTCAAGTTCTTGAAGAATGGCTTACAGTCAAGCTCCCATTTCATTCGAGCATTTTTTCCATTGGATCAGAGTTATGAGGTTTTTTTGCTTGGATAATTCCAGAATACACTTCCTAAGGTGGCTAGACCAAGAGGATCTGAATAATTGTCATCTTCGTTGGGCTATATATGACTAACCATGAAAGTGCTTTTTTTGTTGCAGTTGTAGCCCTTGAAGAAGAGTGTAACATGAATGCATATTCTCAATTCTTAATATGTTTCACAAAAAAAAAAAAAACAATGGCAATTGTGCTATTGAATGCCCTAGGTTGTTCTATTTAGTTATGGTAGTTCCTTTTAAAGGTCTTTTACTGTATTATTTAGCCATGATCTTAGTTATTAATAAGGTGACACATTGCTTGGTTGTTCATTTGACATGTTGCAGATCTGGAACACGAATAAGGATGAGGATTTGCAGGTTCTAGTAGTAATATCTCGTCCACCAGTGAAAGTGTTAGTAATCTCCTTAGTTTATCACTTTGCATGTTCCGATATTATCAGAGGATGATAAAATAGTATATTTCTCATCATACCGGCCCCCATCTTGGAGCAACGGTGCTGATATTGGCTTCAGTCAGTGCAAGGCTCGTTCGAACGGTGTTCGAACAGCCTTTACAGCCTTGCATTGGGAATGTCTCTGTACCTATCTACTTTATTTCATGGGGAGATATTCCCAATGCGAGGCCATAAAGGCTGTTCAAATGGGCCTTGCACTGACTAAAGCCGAGTTCAGCGGTGCTACCCATTTTGTGAATTGGTGGTGGCAGCATTTGGAATCTGTTGTGGTAGTGGTCTAAAATCTATTTATCTGTTATTTTCAGGTTTATATACGAGGACTGGATAATGCCCCACACTGCAGCCAAAATGAAGTTCCCTTATTATTGGGATGAAGAGTGCTTCCATACACCAAAAGATGAGCTGTGATTTCTGGTGGCATTGGCACTCCAGTGAATTTGGTTGGCATACTGTGCACCGTAAGATGAGTCATGCTGCATCGAGGGGAAGCAATGTAGAAAGGGAAAATTTAATATAAAAATGAAGAGGGAGTTCATAATTTTTCTCAATTTCCTCCATTTCCTGTGTTTCTGGTTTCATGTACAGTGAGATAGCTGGTATTTCGTCATCAAATCATTCTCTATCAATCCCATACCACTTAAGAGCATCTATAGTTTTTGAGTGTCAACTCTCAACTATACCGAAATTTCCTTGTGCCGCCGGTTAGTCAGTCCAATCTCAACCCGAAAATGTTTGATTTGAATTGGGTTGGATCAATTGCTTTTATTACCCAAAAAAACCGGGTTGGATCAAGGATAGGGTTGTTGGAAATAGGGGTGAATATTTTCAGCCTGGAATGGAAATTCCGGGCTTGGGCCTTGGTTGTTTTCGGGCCAAGCCTGTGCCTACATTAGGACTGCAAATTTGTGGGCTGGATTTGGACCCAAATGCTTTAGGCCTAGCCCACACACATATTTATTATAATACCTGAGATTTATAACTAATGAACCATAAATGTAATAACCAATCAGGTGGTATTATCAAAATTCACCAGGGAAGTGTGATTGGCCAAAGCCCTTCGGCTATCATGTCACTTCAGCAACATAAATTTTTCCATTTATTAATTTGTGAATGTATTTATATATAAATTATTTTATGTTATATTTTATATTTCATATATAAATATTATAATATAACACCTATAATACATGTCCCATACAATATTTTATATTATGTAATGTATAAAATAAATTTTATACTATATGATATATAATATTTTAAAAATAAAAGTCCCAAGCCTGGGCTTAGGCTATAACACTTATAACAAGTGCAAAGCTCTGCCCGGTTTATGAATACCTCTAACTGAAAAAAAAACGTGAAAATTTGAAAACGATTTAACTTTGTTTTGGGTTAGGATTGATTAGTCGGCTTCACTCAAAAAAAACTAGAGATAGATAGAAAAGGGACTTGAGCAAAAGCAATGTTTAGAAAAGCGGACTGGATTGGCCAGTCGAGCTAGTTCAATCGTGACAAAAAGGAAAAAAGAACTCACCCAGGGTCCCAGCCAGTTCAACTTGAGAACCAATGACCCAACACAGTTTTGCATAACCTTCCAATTTTATTTCTAAGAATTCAATTATAATAATAATACGGAAAAAACTTATAACCAATCAATTAGTATCATAAAAGTGATAAGTAATCAAGTGGATATTCATCAAAATTCAAAGGGTTTTGATAGGTTAAAGTTCGGTCAATGTTATGCCTTTTAGTATGCGTTTATGTTTATTGAATAAACATTTGTACTTTAGCCGTTTCAAAAAATAATTTTTACAAACAACTGGCATGYACATAAGCCAAAGTTCACTTTTTACATTTTGGATATATGCAAAAGAACAAGAGAGAGAAAATGCTGAGGTTGTGCCTCGGTGACACCATCAATAAATGTTTACTAAATAAATGTAAACGGAACCAAACACCCTCTTAGCAATCATAGATTTATCCTATTTCTATTGTTTTTTTTACTGCCCTTAAGACAAAAAGACCAAAAAAAATATATAAAATGACATTTGATGCCCCTTCATTAAAGCCCACAAACCCTTGATTTCCCATTTTCTTCATCTCTTTTCAATCAAACCATGGCACTGATTGGACATCAATTTTAATTCGTGGACGCTACCTTCATACCTTGGTCATCTCAGTGAGGGGAGTGGCTGTAACCTTATTTTTTTATATTTCCACACATTCATACAGCTTTTAAAATTTGTAATTGATTTGTAGCAAAATTGGAAATTGTTTGTAGAATGCTAGAATTCCATTTAAAAATTATTTGTATGTACTATGTAGTTTTTAGAATTTGTAACTGTTAGTAGAAAATTGAAATTGTGTAGAGCACTAAAATGTCATTTAAAATTATTTGCATGCACTAATAGCTTTTAAAATTTGTAATTATTTGTAGAAAAGTGTAAGACTTTTAGTGTGCAAATGCAAATTTTAAAATTGATTGTATGCATGTTCTAATTCTAAAATCGATTGTAAGCATTGTAATTTAGGACTTTTTACAAAATAAATAATTAAGCTTGGTCATTTGATAAAATCAATTTTACTTTGTTATTGTCTAAAATTCACTATCACTTTTTATGAATTCTCTTAAACTTACCGTAACATTTCAAAACGACCAAAACTCACCATGTCAGTGAGATAACGGTAATTTGACTAATGGGCATCGCTAATTTATTATTTTACCCTTCATTATATTCGCTACATCTTGCAATATACAACATTGTTCACAGCTTCTCTCTGTCTTACTCGAGGTCAGATACGAGCTTCACACCATTCGGACGCCAGAGTTCCTAGAACTACATAACAACGAGGGACTGTTCCCCCAATCTGACTCGGCCAGTGAGGTGATCGTTAGAGTTTTAGACACAGGTGATACCTTCGGCACAACAACCAGAGAGGCCACTGGATTCACAGCCACGACAGCATCAGCACCGAAGTCGCCGACGGCCGGAGCAGGCCAGCACTCGCCATGGCACTCTCCGGTGCCGTACCTCTTTGGGGGCTTGGCGGTGAGAGGAATGCAGAGAATGGGGACGAGAAGGCGGTGAGAGCGATGCAAAGAACAGATGCAGAGGGATGCCGTACCTCTTTGGCAATGAGAGGGATGCAGAGGGACGAGAAGGCGGTGAGAGGGATGCAGAGCGATGTCGTACTTCTTTTGCTCTACTGATCCTCGCCTGTTCCTATTGGAAGCTCTCTGGGTAGTTGGAAGGTGGAGAAGGCGGTGAGAAAGATGTAGAGAACGGGAACGAGAAGGCCGGTGAAGCCATCAAAATTCCAATTTCTGGTACGATTCTAGCTTTTAAAAACTAATAAAAACAGAAACTTGTCTGTTCATTTAACTGCAGTTGCAGTCATCGCAGCCCAGTAAACCAACCAATGCAGTTGCAGTCACCGCAAAGTGAAACCCAGTAAAAAAGAAAGGGTAGACATCTCTCTGTATACACCGTGACCCATCAACCTGTTCATTTAACTCATACCAACGGTCCAGAGAAATGTAGGGACGTTACCGTCTGAATTTAAAGCAAATCAGTATAAGAATTCTGGCGAAAGTTTTTGAGTTACAAACAGAAAACCTTTCCCCTGATATCATTTCTCTCGTCCCTTTTCTCCAACTTTTAACCCTATAAAAAGAAAGAAACAGATTAAAATCAACCAGAACAATACATTAATTGAATGTGCTCAACTGTCAACTACTCTCCTTTTTCCTCTGTTCATCTCTCTTCTGCATATATCACGAAAGGCCTGCTCACTAACGTACTATCGCGTCATGAAGCAGCTCCTCTCATTCTGCAATGATCCAATATTTCAACCCTTCCCCACAAACTCGCCGGTGACGGTGACGGTACTCTCTCAATCCCGTTAATGTGGGTCAAATCAGCAAGTCTCTTTATATGATGTGGCCGCACGTTATAATTGGATGCTGTAGATCGAGGCTACGTAGTTGTGTAGTAACTGATTCGATGGACCCTAGCTTCGACAAGGGACTCGGACCCGTCCCCAGTAGTTGGAAAGGCGAGTGTGTCATCGGAGCATTTGCGGCTATGGAGCGAGGAATACTCGTCTCTTGCTCTGCCGGAAATGCCGGTCCAAATTCTTATAGCTTGTCGAATGTAGCTCCTTGGATAACTATCGTAGGTGCGAGCACATTGGACCGCGACTTCCTGGCTTACGTTAGCCTTGGAAATGGGAAAAACTTCTCCGACGTGTCGCTTTATAGTGGAAAACCGTTACCAGATTCCTTAATGGAGTTCGTCTACGTTGGTAACGCGGCCAACGTTACAAACGGGAATCTTTGCGTGGTTGGTACTTTAATACCGGAGAAGGTCGCCGGAAAGATCATATTGTGTGATAGAGGGATTAATGCTAGAGTTCAAAAGGACTTCTCAGTGAAACAAGCCGGTGGCGCAATCATGATTTTAAAGAAGTCATATACAAACTTCACAACATTCAGGGGCAATTTAGTCATAAAATATGCATTTAGATTGACGTGGAGGGTAATTGAACTTTAACCGTATTTTAACGGATAGTGAGTATTAGAAAATAAAATTTCATGTGAGTTTTAGACGTTTTGAAAGATTATGATGAGTTTAAGAGAATTTAGGTTTTGGACAATTACCCTTAAAATAACGACACAAACAATGAGAGGAAAAGATTTTTTATTTTGCCCTCAACTAAAAAATCGTCTGAACGCTGTTCACCTTCTTCTACCTTTCAACACCAAACCAGTCACAACAACGACTATCTTCTCTCTCTCTGTCCTTTTTCTTTTTTTTTTTTATCAGTCTCACCTTTTCTCTTTCCTTTCCCTTCTTTTCTTTTCCCTCCTCTTCCTCTTTCTTTTTCTTTCTTCCCCTTCCTTTCATTCATTTTCTTTCTTCCCCCTGTCATTCCCCTTCTCTCCTCCAACGTTCTCGGCTCCCAAAACCAATTGCAAACCACCTGTTCTCTGGTTGAGCAGAACAGACGATAGTAGCCGTCGCCTGAAGCATCCATCCCTCATATTCAGACGAGAATCACATTAGAAAGTCGATCATCTCGCCGATCTCTCAGTTACAAATTTGTCTCACCTTCGGTGTTCGAGGTAAGTGATATGGATGCGGAAGCATACCCGTGTTGTAGCATCTACTTTAGATTAGAACCCCAACTGAAGTTCCCTTATTCTTAGGGATGGATTTGAGCTGAGCCGAATCCAATATTTGGCTATTCGAGTTTGACTCGTAGAAATAGTTTTAGGCTTCAGCTCGAGCTCGGTGCAATTCGCTCCCTTATTCCTAGGGGTGGATTTGAGCTCAGTCGAGTGGAATACTTGGTTATTCGAGCTTGACTCGTAGAAATGGTGTTAGGCTTGAGCTCGAGCTCGGTTTGGTTTAAAAGCTTGCAAGTTTGAGGTCGGCTCAACTCGAGCTCGACTGCAACCCAAGCTTTTCCTAAAAAATAAAAATTATACATATAAAAATATATATATTTTTTATTTTACATACAAAAAATTAAAAATTATAAAAATTATTTATTATTATACATACAAAATATAATTATAAAAATTTTTATTTTACATACAAAAAATAAGAATTATAAAATCATTTACTATTATACATAAAAAATAAAAA